AATCACTTAATGTTATTAAAGACCAAAAATAAAGTTGAAATTAATTAGATAAGTACTAATTAAAAATTATGGCCAAAAATTAAAAAATTAAAATGGATAAATTTATCAATAAAATTAAAAAATTTTAATCTGCTAATGGTTTAATACAAATAACTACCTTAATAACTTTTTTCATAAGCTGGTGATTTAGATTTTAATTGTTATCCGTTAATTCTAAACCTAAATAAAATTTTTTTATCAAATATCTGATTTGTAGTGATTTAAAAAAAAATCAAATTTACCAAATATCTATTTTTAACGATTTGAATAAAAATACTAATTACTATTTCTTTTTTTTTATATATATAGGAAATGGAGAAATTATATTAAATAATAGGAAAGTACAAAAGAAACTCCATTGCATGGCATATAGCTTAAAGCATTATAGCCTAAAGATATAATTAGAAGCATAATCTACAGCACTAATAACAGATTTAAATTATGTCCATGATGAATATAGACAATTAAGTAAATAGAGTCATTTTGCAACTAGAGATTGCAATTACAATCATTATATGAGCTAAATAGGATTACTAATGTAGAAAGGAGAGTCATTATGAACATTAGAAGTTACTGGACATCCTCACTTATTTAACCAGTTTCATGGGGAAAGCAAGAGATTCATGCAATAAATAGTCCCCAATCTATAGGTTGTTGTCCTATCTATTCTTAAAAATTAACCAATAGAATTAAGGACATGGTCCTCCTTTATGCAAGCACAAGGCACCCCAGTCTTCTCCAGGTGCTTCTAACAATGTTTCCCATCTTTTCCAATCCTCTTCAAGCCAGTGTTTTGAAACCCGAATCGGATCGGCCGATCTGATCAAGACCCAGTGGGAGAAACGAGCTGGGTGGACACCTAAGCCCGTTTTGGCGATCCAACTGGTCGAACACGAAAAATTCGTGCGACCCATCCAGCCAAGCAAACACAGTAAACTCGCTAGGTGAATTGCAACACGTTGACGCTCCCTCTTGGAATGCAGCTTTTTTTTCCCCACTGTCGGCCTCACTCTCAGACTCATTCTCAATACCAACTCAAAGTCTCAACTTTTTCAACTCTCAAATCTCACCACAAAACAAAATCGAAAAATCCATTCTCCAGTCTTCATCATCCATCGGTTCTCCGTTCTCCTTCTCCACTCTTTAGTCCGGCAAAAAAGAAACCACAAGGAGTAGATCGGCCAACAAAACAGCGTTCATCATCTTTCCACATCAAGCAACAAATCGGCATTCGGCAGCAGCAGATCGATGTCTAATAGGCAGCAACAGATCTTTTTTGGAAAGAATTTCCCTTCCTCCTCCACCATGCCTTCGTTCACCGACCTTCACCCAGCGGTCTTCACCCACCGCCATCAACCTTCACCGACCATCTGAGGGGTGCTGTCGCAAAATACTATTTTCCTTCCTCCTCTATAGTTAATCACGCCTCTATTTCTTCTATCTGCCGGTAAGCTCATTGGTTTTCAATTTCTCAGTAATTTGTTGCATAATTTTCAGAAATCCTCATATTTTCTAGTTGGGTAATGCCCCTGGAATCTCAATTTGTTGTAGAGTTTTCAATTTATTGTAGATTTTCTAGTTGGGTAATGCTCTTGGAATCTTAACTTGTTGTAGATTTTCAGCAAATTCGTTGTAAATTTGTTGCAGAATTTTCAATTTGTTGCTTCGCAATTTGCTTCAGAACTTGGTTTTCAATTTGTTATAGAATTTTCAGCAATTTGTTGTAAATTTTCGTTTTTCAAAGTTTGTTATCTATTTATTGAATTTTTAAACTTGTAGTTATTACAAATTGCAAGGAAAAATGATAAAAACAACAACAGGATTCTGCCAGCAAAGTCCAAAGTGCAGTTTCTGGCACTTTTGCTTTGACTGATCGGTTGACCAATTGAACTGACTGGACCGACCAAACTAGGAATTGATGATTAAACCGATTCTATCACTGATCTGATTTTTAAAACCATGCTTCAAGCCCTCTCTGTTGAAACTTGTTAAGGGAACTAGAGTCCCTTTACCATCCGTAATATTATTCTTCCCTTACAGAATACAATCAGCCTCACCAATAGTATCCTGTTCCTTTTTGCCAATCCTCCATATTAGAGCCCCTTTGTCATAATCGGCATCACCAATAACATCCATTTCCCTCTATATTCAATTGCCTGATCGAAAATTGGAATGAACTAGTTTCGCCAAATTTGACTCCTACCAAGATCCAATATGAAGAGATGCGCCAAAGCGAGTTTCCTACTAGTTGAATAGGAGAAACCCAATCCATCGACAAGATCAATTCCCTCGTTGTTCTAGTCGCAACCCTCAGAAATCAACCATATATGTAGATTTGAATATGCCGCCGCCTTATGGTCCCTTAGGTTGAAGTTTCCAAAGCAAGATAGTCGACAAAGGTGAAAGAGAGATCAAGATGAGGAAGGTAAGGGTAAGAAGAAAGCAGAAAAAAAAGAACTCCACAACC